TATATATATATATATATATATAACATATATATATATATATATTGTTATCAGCAATACTATCACTTGATAATTTATCATTATCTTGACGCAACGCTTTAAAACAAACTACCATTTTGTTTTCGTAAAAAGAAATCTTATCACACACATTAAAATAATTTATTTCACATATTTATCTATATTATTATTTTATGAATTCCATTCCCAAAGATGGTTGATGTCAGGAAGGCCGTAAAAACAATTAGCCAAAACTATTTACATGTAAGGCAGACCCTGGCTAAAGCTGGGAAATTTCCACTAAGACGAAGCTATATATTATATATATTTTTTCTTTTAATAATATAATTTTTTTGTAACTATTTTGAAAAATTAATCATTCAAGTTCACAATCTTTGACATTTTAGAAATATTTTATGAAAAAATCAATATTAATTGAAATTAATCGATTTTATTTTAATCGATATAAAATTTTGTTGAATTATTAATAATTTGTCTTTAAAATCAGAAGTCTTAGTATGTGATATGGTTAATATCTGAAAGATTTTTAACTAAGTAAAAGATATAAGGTAGTTTTAATTAAATATGAATTTTTTAAAATAATATTTTATATCACTCAATATGAAAACAATTAATAAAAAAACAATAAGATAATAAATATTATATTTTTATTTTATTATAATTATTTAAATCACATCTTATACTTTTCTAAAGTAGTAATTACATAATCAAATAAAATTAGGAAAATTAATAAAACTCTTTTTTTTATCTGTAACAAAATAATAATATTTAGCAAGTAAGTAATATATTTGATAGCTATCAGAGAAATTATTTAAAAATATTTTCTATGTAATTACATTACAGATTGTATCTTTAATTGATATAGCGATATATATATATATATATATTATGTTGTACTAGTTATTGCACGTGACTTTGCCTAACTATTTTTGTATTATATATATAAGAATAGACATTTACGAACAAACAAATTTGATTTACGTGACTCACATACATAGACGAACCGTGTGACTTGATCTTGTGGTAGAAATAATAAATTTTGGTAAAATTTATATCTTATATCTTATCTTCATAACTAAACTGTATGTATGTATAATTTCATCAAAATCAGCTCAGTAGTTTTTGTTTGAAAGATCAACATATATACATACATATTCACAATTCTTCGTATTTGTATATTGGTAAGATGTACCTTAAATATATTTATTTATATAAAACTATTACATACATAAAACAAAGATACTTATTTAAAATTACATAATATTGTATTAATATGTATATTTTATAAAAAATTTAATGCAAAAGAACTTTTTGTTTCTCAAAAAATCTAAAAAAGAAATGAGAATGAAAATATAATATACACTTTTTTGTCTAAATTTTAATATTATTTATAATCTTCTTTTTCTTCCTGGCAATTTTCCAGCTTTAACCAGGGTCTGCCTGTACTGTTATTTATAATGTATCAAATTAACTATTAGTTACTACTAACTCTATAACACCTGCCTAATAATATTTGGGTCGCCATATGGAGGGGCCGTTGTAACAGGTGAACAAGACGCTTAAAACTTTACTCAACAGTCCGGGGTTCGAGTCCATTTAATACTCTCCTTAATAATATTATTATTATAAACAAACATACTATAATACAGTCGTAGTGGCCTAAATTTTAAATGTCTGCCTCTCATGAGGGCGCGGGTTAGATCCTGGCAAGTACCAATGTGATTGTTCCGAGTCATATGTACTTTATAAGAGTATTTAGATACTGACAGATGAAGGAAAACATCGTGAGGAAACATGGACTTATAATTTTAATTATAAGTTTAAACCTGTCTTGAGCAAGCGTGGTGATTAATGCTCAAACCTTCTCCATGTGAGAAGAGGCCTTTGCTCAGCAGTGGGCTCTGATAGGCTGATGATATTAAAATACTATTATATGATAATTTTCACCTCAAAATCTAATCTTTTAAACCAGAACGTAATAGATATAACAAAAAGTTTCACGCTTGACATTCAAGGGTTGCAACCCCTGTTTACGCTCCGATGAATCAGGGGTTAAATATAAAAAAAGCAATATGATACTATATATAAATCTGTATATATATCAAGTTACATTTATAAATATTTTTGAGTAATTTTAGAGTAAAATTGACTTGGGTCTTTCTGTCAAGACCAATTGTGTTATCGCTTAAGTTTAAAATAAAATAAAAACATAGAAAAGTATTGTGGTTGAAACAAAACAATTATTTTATACTAGTATTAGCCCGCGACTTCGTCCGCGTTAGTTTGGTCAAGAGTGATATATGTAGGTATAGCTGACCAGGCGAACTCTATTCCGTCTTAGAGGCCATAAATAATCAGGTTTTTCCTGTTTCAATCAAACAGAATGATTGACATATTAGTTAGTTGTCAAATCTAATGTCAAAAGAAACGTTTGTATCGGAAATACAAAAGGGCTGTTTTTAGGGTTTTCTCGGCAATTATTCCAATTTTTCTCACCTTTTAAACCTTCCCTGGACTTCCAGGAGTATTTCAAGACTAAAATAAGCCAAATCCGTTCAGTCATTCTCGAGTTTTGGCGAGACTAAGGAACAGCAATCCATTTTTATATATATAGAAGATACAAAAGAATATATTAAAATTAATAAAATCTATCAATATATATAAAAATCCTAGTTTTAACAAGTAATATACACTATACGGTGTGAGAATAAAAAAATCTATATCAGAATAAAAGTAATATTTTTCGGATATACCATATGCTATATTTTAATCACATCTCGTCTTAATGATCACGGTTGCTGAAAAGTAACCGAAACGTCAGAAGTATGTAGTTTTTTACAAAAATAAAATATTAGTTTCATTTAAATGAATAAAACTTATAGATCTCATTAGTATTAAGTTTGAAACAAAAATGAACCGTAAGTAAAAGAAGAAAAAATATCAAAATTAATATATCAGCTGGTATTTAATCTTAGTTTGAGCAAGTATTATATGTATATTATACAGTGTTCATTGGTGGCCTAGTGGTCAAAAGGCCCGCCTCTCATGCACGAGGGCGCGGGTTCGATCCTGACAAGTACCAATGTGATTTTTCCGAGTCATATGTACAATATACATATTAGAAATATTCAATTTCTTAAATATTTTGAAATTATTACCTAATTCAGTAAAAATATAATTTCGTTTTAACTATTTCAAATTATAATAACTTTTTAGTGCGCACGAAATAAAATGTTCTCAATATTTTTAAAGATACTCTTACTAAACTGATAATAGCTACACGAAAAAGTAGTATAAAATATTTCAGCAACAAAATCTAGGTTAAAGAGATTGAAAAGACGAAAGTCGGGGACAATATTTATAGTTTCAAGATAAAGTCACTTATTCAACATTAAATATTATCTAATTGATAATGAGTGGAAATGATAAGGTGATAAGGTCTTATAAATAACGCGATACATATAATTGGCTGGAATGTTGATATAGATTTTGTTTTAATATTTCCGTTGTCAACCCTGAGGATATACAGGGTGACTGGTGAATTACTATCAATATTTAAGGAGAATACTCGGTACATGATTCTCATTCGAATTATGTAAAAAAAATAGGCACTTAATTTTTGACCAAATTTCCGTATAAATAAATAAAGTGTTGACACGTTCCAAGTTTCCAAGTGTGGACGCGTGCAGCGGCGTGCTGATACAACACCACGCCGCCTCACGCGTATGTGTGAGTGTGTGTGTATACCTGTAATTAATTACATAACTTTTGGTTAACTTTACTTAGCAGTTTATTAATATTTATGTTATATTAATTTTTATTTTGTCATATATGATCGTCAAATATCACGTCCTCAAATATCGATAGTAATTCACCAGTCACCCTATATAGATTTTGTTTCAAACTTTTTGTCAACATTGCCAAACCTTCTCACTGAAGATATCTATTATAGACTAGCTGTGCCCGCGACTTCGTTCGCGTGAAATAGTGACTATGAGCAGCGTTTTTTTGACATAACTTTTTTATTTATGAACCGATTGACATGAAACAAACACTAAAGCATACCACAATATATACGTGAAAACCGCATCCAACTCGGATCAGCCGTTTCTGAGATTAGCGTGAACAGACAAAAAAAAAGTTAATTACATTTTTGGGTTCGACATCGAAATAACAATAACGCCAGCTATTTTTCTTTTTTTATTTTCAATGTACAGACAGCACTTTTCTACAATTTTATTATATGTATAGATGAGTAATATTCTAGTATTGATAACCTTATCATTATTCTCCTATCAGTACAATCTCATACTCTCTTCTCATGATCCTATATTCCCTGACGCTCAAGTCACCTGGAACACTTGCTCCAGGTCCAATCATTATACTATACTTATCAACATCTACTGGTTTGATAACATTTGATAAAAACTTCGAGATAGCCTTGACCTTGGGGTAAATCCAACGAAAATACTATTTTGATAATGATTTTTTTTAGACTCTCGCACTGTATAGTATATTTTCTACCTGGCAACTTCCCAGCTTTAGCCAGGGTCTGCCTTACATGTTGTGAATAGTTTTGGCTAATTGTTTTTACGACCGTCCGCCTGCCTGACATCAACCTTCTTTGGGAATCAGCATTAATCAGTGATGTCTAAATATTCTTGGAATGTACAATGTATATACTAGTTTTTGCTCGCGACTTCTTTCGCGTTAATTTCTGAATTAGTAGTAATGTTAGATGTTGGAATTTATTAAATTATTGTTTCTTTTTCGATGGAACAGAATTAAATATCCTATGTCCGTCTCCTTGTTCTGAGCTATCTCTCCACCAATTTTCATCAAATCCGTACGGTCATTCTTGAGTTATAAATTGTGTAACTAACACGATTTTCTTTTATATATATGTATATATTCTTATATATCTTGTTTCAGATGCTATGGGTCAATGAAATAACTTTACTTAAATATTACAAAAAATATTAAGAATGGCGGAAACCGAAGGGCCGGTTACAGTTGAAGACCTGCCGATGACATTTCAGGTGAGTTTAAAAGAAACTTATAATAAAATATATATCAGATTTTTTACATATTCGTTGATTTTAAAGAGAGAGACGCCAGCCTCGCTGGCGTTACAAATGTCACTTCTTCTAGAGCATTCGATGATATTTTAAAATGAAACTGCAATTGATCTTAATGCTCTTGTATTTCTCAAAGATTCTTCATAATAACATGCTTCTATGATACACACTCACTGAACTCTGAATTATCAATGCTGAATTCTCAATTCTGGAGTCCGCCGTCGTGAGTCCAGACGTCATATTTTTTGATTCAAACATAATTCTATTCTCTTTTGATTTCGTTTTACTTTTAGCAATAATCATAAATACTAATGAGGTTTAATAAGAATTGATGGCAGCCTCTAATTATTTTCAAGTCGCATCCGTTATTAAAGCTGGTAGCGCCGATACGGCCATTCTGACAGGCGGTGCGTGCTCTGCACCTGCCTGGTTATGTGTTCTTTCTTGGTTGGTTTTCGTTATGTACTTGGACCAGTCGCGCGTCTCGTAAAGTAGATGGGACAGGATCAAGAATTGATGCTTCATCTTCCGAAGTCATGCCGATACGGTCATACTGATGTTTGCTCTGTGATAAAAGATAAATGCTTTTGTAGTCTAGGTACTTCCACAGTAACCCTAGATAACTTAATATTGTTACAATTATTAATATCAAAATTTTTATTTGATCGTATGGGTAACGTTGTTTACTACAACACAACTTTGAGATGGTCATAATATCACGTCCAATTATCTAAGCTACATGGCTTTGGGGGCATCACACGAACATTCATAACATATTTGTCATAGGACGTCTCCGCCCGCCTACAACATTTTTTTTTTTTTTAATTTATTTGTCATAGGACGTCTCCGCCCGCCTACAACATTTTTTTTTTTTTTAATTTATTTGTCATAGGACGTCTCCGCCCGCCTACAACATTTTTTTTTTTTTAATTTATTTGTCATAGGACGTCTCCGCCCGCCTACAACATTTTGTTTTTATTTATTTGTCGTAAGACGTCTCCACCCGTCTACAACAATTTTATTTTATTAACCATTTTATTATTATTATTATTTTGTTATGGTTCGGATCCGCCATCAAAGGCATCTTTTATAGTAATAATAATAATTTAATAATTTTATAGTAATATATCTCAAAGTAAGTGTTTCAAAATCACACTTCTATCTACGAAATATGTAATGCGTTTGAAATGAAGTAAATTGAACAAAATGAAATACGCTCACCGGATAACTATTAGGTAGTCGAACAGTCTACCTTGCTGCTCGTTTACTTATACTCTCTCGTCACTCCAGTGGAACTTCGTCTGGCTGGTCACGAATCACATTTCAAAGTGTTCCTCGGTTTCTATTACTTTTTCTGTGATATTTTTTTTTTATATTAAATCTCCATTCTGAAATTATTTAAATTTTAGCTCGAAATCTCTAAAATCCAACTTTTTATCTTCTCTCCGCCTCGACCATCCTGTTTTAAATGTGTTGCTTGGATATCCACGGACGGATTGTCAAATTGTAATCTAAACTGTTAAAGCCGGATTGACTTGTTCGTATGTTCATAATATCGTCAAGGATACTAAATTTGTCAGATGTACGCTGATGCCTGTAATTACATAATACTATTTATAGGAATAATAGAGCCCGGCCTCAATCCTCGCAAATAGTTGACGATTTGTTTTCTATTCCCGGATATGTTATTTGCCATTGATTCTTGTATAACGCACCCCTGAAATCATGCATTTTATTAAGATTAAATTTACCAGTTGATATTAAATTTAAATTCGGCGTGATATCCTTTTTCCGTCGACAACATGATTCAAACGTTTGACTACGGTTAGCAGAAATGGAACAAAACTTAGCTGTACTCGCAATAGGTGTATTTGATTAGAAATTTGGAGTCAATTATGCTATCATTTGAATTATAACATCGTTTTTTTTTTTTAGTGGCACTGCTGTGTGTGTTGACCGACATGTTGTTAATATTACTGTGAAGGGTATGTCTACAGTCGATTATAAATAAAGCCGTGGCGCCGGCTGTTTGATATCAAAATCATGTAACTTCTTATAGATTGAGTGACTCCATATTTACTCATTGTTTCCCAAGGCCGCTCTTCGTCATCTCATGGTATTCTCAAGGATACAGCAAGGATCCGTGGTTAGCTCAAGGGTAATACGTGAGTAGCTCAGAGGTACGCTCTCCACATCTGTGGCGTAGACTTGTCTTCTCACGGTTCCACAAGGCATCCCTACGTAATCTCATGGTTCTCTTTCGGATACATCAAGGACAGGAGATTAGCTCATGGAAATTCCCTAAACACTAAAGGCAACATAGAGCTCTCATTATTTCCGAAAAAGAAGAGCGCGTCTTATCTCGTAAGTTTTAAAGATATCACTATTAAACTAGTTTGCCTCTAGTTTCGTGATAATAAAATTAATTTCGTTATCTATTTCTTGTTAAGCCTTCAACCAATGGTCTGTTGTCGCGGCGAAATGAAAGAATTTTTGATTCGAAATAAGTGGCAAAGGATATCTATCAGACACCGTATTCTTATTTAATTCTCTCTATGACATTATTTAAATGATTTTTCAGTTCCAATCTTGTTTGTTTTAAGAATGAGACATTATTTTTAATCCCTATAGAAGACCCTAATGTAAGCAGATCCTGTCTAATCATAAGGTCGTTGAAAATACATGAATTCACAACATGGAAAACTCACTTTACTGAATCACTCTTAAATTGTTTAAAGAATTTAGATATAACATTTAATGCGAGCGTTACTTCACCTTCTAATGCAATTGTATTATTATATTGTGATTTACTTAGAAATCTATCTTTCAAAAAAAAAAAATTTTATTTTTTATTAAAGAACATTCGGTACCCGAGTCGAAACAACATGAAAACCTCTCACCGGTTTCACTCCAGAGCTAAACCATATCTGGATTGAACAGATATTCACGTGTCGTTCGGTCCATGCTTAATTGGCCTTGAATTCAACACTGGGGCAGCGCGGCGCGAAGTAGCCTCGTTCACCATACTTGGAGCAACTAGGACTAATCATTTACTTCGGCGCGCCAGGTTCTTTTAATTGTTGAGAGGAGCTGGTATCTGAAAACTCAGGATGTGTATTAGTATTTGGTCAAGCCTGCTATGGCCTCAACCTTCAGTTAGAACGTGCCCGTCTTGTCTCAGTTATAGTGCCACATCGTCGCATAATATCTCCGCTTAGTATCCATACTACGTGGCTTCTTATGTAAATGTTGTAACTAATCGTATTCACATATTTGAGCTCACTCCTTTTAAAGATTTCATTTTCATTTGAGAATCATGGTTCCTGATTTACTACGTATTTATAGCCATGTAGATGTGTTGACACCATTCCCAAAGACACACACTACCACCGGGGTCAAACGATGATAAAAATGATCTTCTTAGTAATTTTAATATTATCCCTTGATTTATTTGTAAACGTTTGCACACGCTCTGCATTATTGACATCAATGAATGGCATGAAAAAAATTTTCTTTTAGCGTTCTTCAGTACGCAAGTTCTCCACATGGTTATTTTCTTCAGCTGGATAGGATTTATAAGACCGGCATGATCACGAGAGTGATCCCACTTCTGATATCAGATTTTTTACACATTCGTTGATTTTAAAGAGAGAGACGCCAGCCTCGCTGGCGTTACAAATGTCACTTCTTCTAGAGCATTCGATGATATTTTAAAATGAGACTGCAATTGATCTTAATGCTCTTGTATTTCTCAAAGATTCTTCATAATAACATGCTTCTATGATACACACTCACTGAACTCTGAATTATCAATACTGAATTCTCAATTCTGGAGTCCGCCGTCGTGAGTCCAGACGTCATATTTTTTGATTCAAACATAATTCTATTCTCTTTTGATTTCGTTTTACTTTTAGCAATAATCATAAATACTAATGAGGTTTAATAAGAATTGATGGCAGCCTCTAATTATTTTCAAGTCGCATCCGTTATTAAAGCTGGTAGCGCCGATATATATATATATATATAGATATATATATATATATATATATATATATATATATATATATATATATATATATATATATATATATATATATTAAATGTATATACTTGGAATTCATCCAATTAAGGAATATTAAATTGTTTCATTTTTTCGTTACTGATTCCTGACTCGTACCTGAAAACATCGTATTAAAAAAAAACACGCACAAAACGATTTATTTCAGTGAAATTTTAAACATCATAATTGAAAATGTATTAACTAATTACTAATAATAATAAATATTTTGGAAAGCAAACTTTATCCATGATTATCAATTGATAAATCAAATAAAAGATTCTGTTATCAAAGATTAACAAAATCCTTAAATATAATAAAAAAAATCACTAAATTGAAGTCAAATATTTAGCCTAAAAACATTTCTTATAACTTTTTATTCTATTTATTAATTCACACAAACAAAATGTCGACTATTCACAGAAACAACGTCTAATTAAAACACTAATTAAAAAACTGCAAGGAATGGCTCATAAACATTTTTCACGGTGCAAATTATATTGCTTTGCATTTTTCACTCTTAATAATACAATTTAAACTTAACTGAATATTTAGTTTATATACATATATATGAATAAATCTTTTTGTATACATTTGTGTGGCGCACGTTAATTATCTAATTCTTCCATTATCTAATCTACGTTAATGTAAAGTTTGATCAAAATCCGTTTGTATTAAACATCAACATACATACATATATACATCTAACAAAAATTTTCATTTACAACATTTCTATGATTTATTACAAAAATATTTATATTATTTAAATGAAACTAATATTTTTCTAATTACTACACATATTTTACTATTATAAACTACATACATACTCCCGACGTTTCGGTTACTTTACAACCGTGATTACGGGCAGACGACGTATAACTCTGTATTAATACTATTTTCCTATGTCTATGACTATTAAATGAAGAGTTTTACGAACATCGACATAACTATTTAACCTGTCGTTAATGACTGCACGTAAAGTTTCGTTATTTGCACCGATGGTAAGGTTTATACTTTCATAATATTAATTATGTCATCAAATATACTATTTCAATGCTCTGTCCTCATACGTACTGTAACGGCTGACTAAACGTTTCGTCATAAACCATATACTTCATAGTTATGCGTAATAGTTACTGAACCATATATAGATCTATAGTTAAGTCAGTGGCGGCCTAGTGGTTAAAAGGCTCGCCTCTCATGCATGAGGGCGCGGGTTCGATCCTGGCAAGTACCAATACAGTAGGACCTTGATTATCCGGACTAATCGTTGTCGGTAGGCATCCGGATAATTGAAAGTCCGGATAATACAATATATGAAGAAAAACGGGCTTTTTGCATACGTACATATGTAGTCTGTACCCCACATATGTAATGTTAGGTGTTTATTTAAAACAACAAATACATATGAGCGAGAATCAACGAAAATCACGGACGGCACGAGTGGCGTGGCGTTATGCAAGTTCTGACAGGTTAATCTATACTAATATTATAAAGCTGAAGAGTTTGTTTGTTTGTTTGAAAGCGCTAATCTCCGAAACTACTAGTTCGAATTGAATAATTGTTTTTGTGTTAGATAGTCCAGTTACTGAGGAAGGCTTTGTGCTATATAACATCACGCTACGACCTATAGGAGCAAAGATATAGTGGTAAATGTATAGAAAACGGGAGAAATTATTTCATCTTTGAAGCCTTCCGTTGCGCCGCGAAAACGGTTCAAGATACACAAAAAATATGTATTAAAGAATAATAGCTCATTTAATGATCTAAAAAACAGTCCGCGACAGTATATGTCTATCTAAAATCTGCCGGAAGTCACTATTCCACGCGGACGAAGTCGCGGCAAAAGCTAGTGTTAGAATAAACTTGTCGCGATTGGCAGTCCGGATAATCGCGAATTCGGATAACCGAGGTCCGGATAATCGGGGTCCTACTGTATAATTTTTCCGAGTCATATGTACTTTCTGAGAGTATTTAGACATCACTGATTAATGCATTCCCAAAGAGGGTTGATGTCAGGCAGGCGGCCGGTCCTAAAAACAATTAGCCAAAAATATTCACAACTTGTAAAGGCAGACACAGGCTAAAGCTGGGAAAGCTGCCAGGTAGAAGAAGATATATATAGTCCTGTAATTAGACGAGAAAAACCGCGGTTTAAGTTAAGCTTACTTCATTGTAAATGTTGCTGCTTAAATCAACCTAAATGTTTAAAATCAGTTGGCGACTAACACCTAATAGCATTAAAATTGATCAAACCTTTTCCATATAGCATAAGTAAACAAACGGATTGAAAGGAAAAACATATATCATTAACAAAGAAAAATAATTTTATGTATATTCATAGGAATATATAAAAGAAAGTAGTGTTAGTTACACTATTTATAACTAAAGAACGGCTGTAGGGATATGGTTGAAAATTGACTGGGAGGTAGCTTAGAACAAGGAGACGGACGTAGGATATTTAATTCTGTTCGATCGAAAAAGAAAAAATACTGAATAGATTCCAATATCTGATTATTTATGTCCGAATAGAATTCGCCCGGTCAGCTATACATATATTACTAACTCCGAAATTAACTCCAACGAAGTCGCGAGCAAAAACTAGTATTTAAAAACACATCATAAAATATTATAAATATGTAGAATCTTTTCGGTACATAACTTTCAAAGCATTGTTTTAACTGTAGTTGGTTTTAATTCGATGGCAGTTAATTGGTGTCAAAGAATTTGACCTCGTATTTAATAGACTATGCACGCTATGAACATAGATATTTCAATTATTTCCTGTGATTTATAATATTAATTATTATATATACAACGAAAGAATTTAGAAGATGATTAATAAATATTAACTAGTTCTTGCCTATTACTTCGTCTGTGTGAACTTGGGAAATAGATTGACAGATCGCCTTTTTTACCACATTTTATAAATAATATGGTTGTTTTAAATATGCCATTCATTCGTGTAAAGATGTGTACAGTATTCTGTAAATGTCTTGCAGAATATAGGAGACACGATCCGGGATAATTTAGGAATGTCATAAAATTTATCAGCTTCTACTGAAGTGACAATTAGGAACTTTGTTAGTATGTCTAAAACATGACGTTTTATTCTGTCTATGTCATTTTACGTCATGTGTCACGTCACAGGAATGAAGAACGATAATTATTCGATGTCAGTTTCCTGACTTTAAACTAAATAATCATCAATTTTCATACAAATCAATACAATGTTCTTAAGTTACAGTAGTGTAACTAATACTACTTTCTTTATATATATTATCTAAAAGATTTGATTATGTCATTATTGACAATTATTATTTTTAAATTAAGCTTCTGTCAAATTGACACTAATTTCTAATATTCATTAATCGTAAAAAGTATTTATATAAATTATTATCTTGTCCTCAATCTGCATCACAATTGTATTTTCATTGTTATGATTAAAATTGAATTATAGTTAAATATATATTTTTAAATATTCTGATATTAAAAAAGAATATGGTACTCTATGTAATAATATCTATGGTACTATTTTGATATGAAAAATATAGAGTGATAAAGTTATAGATATTCATGGTATAAGAAGTGAAAGATAAAAAAAATGTAAGTAGACCTTCTTATGAAAAGAGATCTTTTACATACTGTTTTAATTTTACGAAACTGGAAAAAAGATGTATAGGTCTATACGTATAACCGAGAGAATTTTTGAGTAACTAAGTCCAAGATTTTATTTCTTAGGAATACCTCGAGTTTTGGTGTTTAAGAGTGGTGACGTAGTTAGTTTTTCATTTTGAAAAAAAGATAGCCTTTACTCAATGTAGTACAAGCACTTTGTTAACAAAATTCTTAGCAGTGTCGATAGTTGTGTAAATATGACTACAGTGACTTCCTAAAACAACCAATGTAGAATGGATAAATACAATAATATCTGGACTTATACATGGTAAATTCAGCTCTATAATTGAGGGTACTTAAACAAAACAAAACAAAAGTCATTTTATGCATCACTAAAATCGTTTACGTCATTAGATTGGGTATTTAGAAAACAAATGTGTAAAAAAATACTAATAAACGAAAAAGAAATGGATTATTTTTAACAAGACAAACCTCTCCGCAGATATTAGTAAGTAACAAATAACGTCTTTGTTATATAATAGAATTAAATAGTTATATATAGTGTGTTAATCAATTAATTGTGTGTTAGTCAGTGGTGGCCTAGTGGTTAAAGGGCCCGCCTCTCTTTGCCGACGGCGCGGGTTCGATCCTGGCCCGGGCAAGTACCAATGTGTTTTTTCCGAGTCATATGTACTTTCTAAGAATATTTAGACATCACTGATTAATGCATTCCCAAAGAGGGTTGATGTCAGGGAGGCGGCCGGTCGTAAAAACAAATAGCCAAAACTATACACAACATGTAAGGCAGACCCTGGCTATAGCTGGGAAATTGCCAGGTAGAAGAAGATATTGTGTGTTAATCTTTTTCAAAACATTTGTTAAAGCGAATGTATGTAAACTAAAAGTTTATTCGTAAATCACTAACAGTTAAACGATTTCAACATAGCCATGGTTTTTTAAGGTAACTTTCACAACATACGGACGCCATATAAAAACGATCATATCCGGTGCCATTGAATTCACAATGACTCTGTTAGAATTATATCACTTTGATACGCTGAGGTTTTATTGTATATAAATATTAATACAGTGAAATATTTTGATTGCTTTTATTTGATTTAATTACATTTTTTTACATAATTATACATATTATCTTATTGTCTTTAGGCAATAACATTATAATTTGTAGGTCTATTTCGATTCTGGTAATCGTAACACTTATGGGTATTTTTACCATACACAGTATATATATATATATATATATATATATATATATATATATATATATATATATATATATATATTTGATTATGTATTTACTACATCCAGACAATAGCTACATTTTAACATTCCGATTTAGTCAAAAATATATAGCTGTTTGTTACAGCCTTTTTAAAAGAAACAACACTTTTATGTAGTATATTACGTACAAAAATCATTTCTAGTTAATAATTTCGATACTAATATGTATTTTTACTACTTCCAGGTCAAATACCTAGGACAGAGTGATGCCAGAGGTTTATGGGGTATAAAGCACACTCGGAAACCAGTAGATTTGATGGTTGCAGCTGCAAAGGCCTTACCACCAGGTATATAAATTATAATATAACAGGACTTATATTTTATGCCTCACTATGAATCAATTCTGTTACTTAATTATTTAAAAATCATTAAAAATTTATGTTTTTGAATAAAAAGATGATAATTAACAATAGAAGCATTTATTTTCCTATATTTCTTGAAAGTGAAATAACATACAATTAAGTATATATGTATATTATAATATATAACATAGGCTTTGATGGTAAATAAAATAAGTGACCAACTGTACTCTTTCTCTTATTTTATATCATATAAGATAAGGGTACTCAAATCTAGGTATTAAGAAGTCAAAGCCTATTTTGAAGTTTATGTTCAACGAAAATTGTCTTTGAAGTGAAGTGAAGTGAAGTGAATCCAAACAGGATAAAGATACTACTGAATACTCTACATTTTAATATGTATACTCAATTGATATTAAACTATGAATTAGCCATAAAAATAAACGAAATTAAAAACCATAGAAACTAGGACTATTTCTAACTAGGACTAATTATTATTAATAGAACAAATTCTGTTTAAACTATCAACTAATCACACTTAATCCTTTTAGTATTACACATATTACCATAGATATACTTTCCAAAAAAACTTACCAAAGAAATAAATATTACAGGTCAGGTTCTTCCGATAGTAAAACTCACTATTACAGTCGATGGCGTTCATTTAGAAACTTTAAATCCATTGAAGAGTGAATATGAGAATATGGCGGTGCTGTTCAATATAGAATCCATATCATATGGTGTGCAGGACCTGGTGTATACAAGGGTTTTCTCCATGATAATAGTGAAGGATAATGCTGATGTAAAAGGCTTGAATCCATTCGAATGTCACGCCTTCGTTTGTGAGTCCAGGTAACTATAATTTAAATTAATATTATACTAGCTTTCCACCAGCTTCGCGTGGAGTTCGGTTATATCGCGTTTCCAAGAGAACCTTTCACAAGTCTGAGATAAAAACTATCCTATGTTCTTTCTCAATATCAACTCTATCACTGTACCAAATTTCATTAAAATCAGTTCAGTGGTTTAGGCGTGAAAGCGTAACAGACAGACAGACAGTTACTTTGCATTTATAATATTAGTAGGGATATTTTAATATATTTATAATTCTGTTATATACTCTCTGTTAATAATTTATGTTCCTATGTTAGGAAAAAATGTTTTTAGTATGTTTTTGGGACTAAATTATAACAGCTTGAAAGAAAATCAACATGCACTATAAAATAAATATTAATAATTTCTTATAATATCTACAATTTACTGTGTATAGAATATTTATCTTAAGATTTATCTCGCGACCTATTTACGACAAAACATATCTTAAAGTTTCCCACACATAAACTGTGATATGTCACTGTAGTAACTTATGATAAAGATGATAAAAGTAGACCACTTGACATAAAAATAACGGAATTATCCACATAGAATTACCATGGAGTATTTATATTAAAATTTAAACAACCCTGCTTTCAATCTTCTCTTTCTGCCAACCATTTACGGTTTACCATATTCTGTACTACCCCATATATTTAATACATTATCTAGTGATATTTATTTATTTATGGAAAGACGTACAGCTTATATTACAATAAATTATTTCGGTAGGGAAAAAACAATTTGCGAGAAGAGTTTCCACAGTTATTGTGACATGAAGTGTATTTAAAAATAATAATAATATTAATAATAAAATTATAAAACAACAACAGATATAGAAAGGTAAAGAAGGGTTAACAGCAAGGAGTATCAAACATAAAATTTAGTTTTATTATTACTAATATAATATTTTTAAAAGTACCAAATATTTATATATATTTTTGTAGTACTTAAAACTGTCATTCAAATATCCTTCATACAATTTAACACTACAAATAGTAGTACTATAAGAAGGATTATTATAATATACTATCTTTCCGCCCGCAGTTTTGCCCGCGTGGAGTTCGGTTATATCACGTTTCCAAGAGAACCTTTAAAAAGTATGGGATAAAAACTATCCTATGTTATTTCTCAAGGTCAACTATATCTGTACCAAATGTCATTAAAATCAGTTCAGTGGTTTAGGTGAAAGCGTTACAGACAGACAGACAGAGTTACTTTCGCATTCATAATATTAGTAGGGATACTTCTCCTATAAGTACGCTTTCTTAAATTAAAACTACTCTAATCTTTAAATTTGTTTTCTTTTCTTTTAGAAACGCAGCAAGAAGACTAACGTATTCATTGGCTGCAGCGTTCCAAGATTACTCTAGAAGAGTTAAAGAAATGCAAGCAACACCCGGTACAGAAACTAAATCTTATTTCTATACCTTAAAATTATTTTTAGAAATCAAAATCTATTTAGAATAATTGAAACTTAAAATAACACATAAATGCTAATATTACATGAGATATATAAAGATTAATTGCTCAAGTTAGAATAATGTAGCCACATAAACATCGTATATACATATATATATGTACTAAATTTCTCGCCACAATTTCAGAACTAGACGAAAGACCGCCACGAATGAAGAAAAAGTTCGCCATAGATTTGAGGAGCCCTGAGGAGATAGAAGCTGATTTGGAAACTGAAGCTTGAATATAATATGTACAAATAATAACCTTACCATGGGTTTGCATCGTCAAACTCAGTACAGATAGTTACAAGTTTATTATACAGCTAGTAAAACTAGTAGGTTCTTTTCAAAGGTTAGGTAGAGAGAGGAGCTTGGACAGTGGAGGTGAGCGTTTAACGCGTTAGATAGGGTCCCTTAAACCTACACCTGAGTCGCAAGTCACAGTCACTGTTGAAGCTCCTCTCACTACAACGATGGACCCGACACACGCATATGAATACATTGAATGATGAGAGGTTTCGTCTATCTTTTTTCGTACCATGCTATCTCCGAATAAAGGTGCTGAATTCATATCCATATAACATAAAAAATTTGTACAATTTAATTTATTTATTGGTAAAAAAAGTTCAAAAACAATTTCGCAGATCAATTTGACTTAACAAAAGGTAGCTTTTTTGATACGTGTATATGTATATAGAAAATTCCAAAGAAAATGTCCAATATATAAAACTATAAGTTCAAAAATAATAATAATTAGATTAGAAACGAAATGCCAAAGGCTTTCTTAGTATAAATATTTAATAAGTTTTCTGTTATTATATTATTTTCTTGCCTTTGTTATTATAAATTTTCAATTAACATCTCGAAGTATTAATAATATTTTCAATATTTTTTTCCTCTACTTATGTTTTTTTTTTCTTTTATTTATAATAAATTGTAAGTAAGCTTATTGTGTATTAAATATGTGATTTAGTTATATCATTATAAATGTAAATAATATAATAAATTGGCTGTTATAATTATTTTAATAGAAATCCTTTATTATTTAAATTGTTTCAACTCGTTAAGTATATGTAAAACAAAGAGAAATTCTTCTTTACTTCTTTTCACATAACTATTGTATTTTTTAATATAATCCCTGTAATTGTTTTCTACGCCGTACACAGCGTTCTCATCTACATAACTCAATAGTCTTGAAACGCTTAAGTGGAGTAAAACTTTGAGTAATTGTTTATCATTGGCCTCGTCCAAGTAAATATCTTTGAGATCTTCCAGCCACATCTGTTTATTATACTTCGTTATGATAGCAACGTGTTTTATAGCGTCGTGGAACTGAAATAAAATGTAAAAATAATATTTTGAATAATATTGATAATAGTACAAAGAGTACATAGCTTTTTTGGTCAAACAAAACGTAGTTTTGTTATTTAATGATAACTATTTTAAAATGTTTTGTTGGATATATTTGTTTACTTGGCAGCAATGATAACCTCACGTGGAAAATTAGGGCGTCAGTATTTGATCTAAATTTGACATTCAGGCCTGAAAGGACCTTGAATGGCAAGCCCGTCCCAAGAGTATTACAGGCTAGACCTTGACCTATTACTTTACCTTACCTTATATCATTTAGATTGAAACAGAAGACTCTCAAACCAGAAAAGAATGGATTATCTTCCAACGTGTTTTTTATTTCCTAAGTCTTATACGAACAGCGTTTAGCGCTTAGGAAGTCAAATATGAAATTAAGTGTACTACTAAACTACCTTTATCAATTCTCATTATAATATTCTTCTTACGCATTTGAAATTATTACATACAAAAAGCTTTTTATTGTCCAATATTACTATGAAGAATACTTTCAATGGAAGCCCATAAGATTTTAAAGTACTGTTAGAAAAAGGATTTAAACGGGCTATGTTTCAATTAAATCGGGTATCTTTTTGGAAGATATTCTGTGTATGAAAAATCTAAAATATTTTAGCTGAACAATAAAATAACTCACATCGTGTAAATAGAAAAGTATTTTCTGTAGGAAATCCTCGAAATCGTAAAGCAATTTCAGTGGTTCACTTGTTTTATTCCTAATAAACTTGGCCACATCTTTCCACAACTTAATTGGCTGTGTAATTTTCTTTTTGTATTTATTTCTTGGCAGTAGTCCCCTTTTCCGTTTAACTTCGCCCTCTTCACTGTATTTTTCTTCTATATTATTTTGTTTATTGAATATATCGACAGATGTCTTGTAAAGATAAAGTGTGTATTTTAATAGCTCCAAATCTTTTGGGTACATGTCATTACCGAATTGCAGTTCATTCCTTAAATGGAAAATGACATTAAATATTAATGTCGTAAATTCTTTTATCCGGAAAAAGTTAACTTAAAAGTGTTTAATTAATACGCAGAACGGTTAAAATAATTAACCAAAATAACGTACTTGATAATCCTATAAAGTTATTATACTATACTATTTACTAAGTAGGATTAAAGTAAGATTATCCACTTACGTTAATTCAAAAAGTCTTTCTATACCCGTCAGTATGTCCACTGTAGTTTCTAGCCAGTTATATTTCGATAGAGCCTCATTTTTAAACCGTATAGAATCTTTTAATACTTCTAGTATAGAATAAATTTCGTCGTGAACATTATTTTTATCATTATTTTTACTGGATTCCACTATTTTCAATCTTTCTGACCTTCCTACTTGTACTGGATCGGGTTTGGAATTAAAACCAAAATAATAATCCAGGGATATACTATCTTCGTGGTTTTTACTTTTTGTTTTCGTATTGTCACTCATACTGTCCACATATTTAGCTTTCTTTCGACCAATCTTTAAGGTCTTTTGCCGTTTAATTTCTGGAATACTTTCATATATCTGTTTCAGATGCAAAATCTTTCTTACAGCTCCGATATGATCCTTAATTGAATCATCGTTTTTCAAACTATTATAGGGATGGTCCTTTTCATTTGAATCAGGGAATATCTTATTATGTTTAACCTGTTTCTTATGCCCGCTCCTTGCTTGATGCTTATTCGAACGGCCGAAGTAATAGTCTAAATCTAAATAATCATTTGGACTATAATATATGTTGTGGTATTGAACTTTTTTTTCTGGTTTTTTGTTTTGCTTCTGATATTTCAGTACGTGATTCTCTTTGTTTCTTTTATAATGACCTGAACTTCGTTTTTTGTATCCTGAGAATATGCTTCTCTCGATTGGTAAATCTGATTTCATTGCTTGTCTATCATCCTCGCTATCTTCAAACGTATCATAACTAGTGTCGTCGTTATATTCGTCTTCTTTGTAGGGTTCAGGACGAGTACGTGGCATAAAATAAGCGTTTTCTGGGTCATAGTTATACACGGGAACTACATATATAGGTACTCCATTCTTGTCCTGTTCCTCCATAGATTTTTTCACAAACGGTGGTTTTTCTGGATCTAAAATAGAAAAAAATACACGTGACGTGACGGAAAATTATCTAGTTTTAATATATTAAAATATAAATTTTAATTTAATAAGTATAATATTAATTAATATTACCTATTTCAAACACTTCATATTCTCTCATTTTGGTTTTGTAATCATTTTTTTCTGGAGGCGTGTCTTCAAATATAGATTCTTCTGACGTGCGACTTTGACGCAGCGATTGGGTTTCTTTTGTGTTCAAATCTACATCTTTTTCTATATTCTCATCTGAATGAATATTTCTTTTTTGTGACACATGACTTCCAGCACTTAATTCAGTTACAGTTGCAATAGTTGTTGTATCTTTTACACTTTTATTTTCTGTATTTGTATTTTCTTCGGTCGCATTTAATACTGAGCCATTAATTTTGTCAATTTCTCGGTTCATTGATGCCTGTTTTAAGTCCATATTTCCAGAACGTGCTACCGAATGTCCGTTAACCGTAGTATTATCACTTATATTGCTAACATTTAATGTGGTTTCAGGTGTAGTTGAGCTTATATTTTCTTGTTTATAAGTCTCAGTTTCAGTTGAATTATAATTAGAAGTAGTGCTTGATGAATCTGCGTTATTTGATGTAGTGGAATCAGTGGATGTTGTAGTTTCTTCGCCCTCAGAACTTTTGCTATCAGAGTTTTCATTATCGCTGTCGTAAATTTTCTGTGTCGATGGCCATGTTACTTCATCAGTAGATTCTGTTGTAGTCAAAACCTCTTTCGTATCTGGTTCGACTGTTGAGTCATATATTGTATCGTTACTTGTGACAGAATTATTTTCATCAGAATTCGAATCATAATCAGGCATTGTTGTACGAAACAATAGATTTGTGTCGTATGATTTGCGATTACCTTTTAAGTCTTCGCTATCATTTTTATTATTATCAGATCTAATCAAGTCGTTTTCCAAATTAGTTATATAACCAGGCTTATTTATATCATTACTTGAACTAGCATTTATAAGTGATTGTGGAACTATAACAACTTTATCACCAGTACCAAGATTATCATCATCGTATATAGTTTTGACGGGTATAACATTAAATCCACTTTGTCTATCCAAATGTCTGTCTGGGTCACTATCATTTACTGTGTCCTTTGTACGCAATGTGAGATCTATATACGGGTCGATATCAGCCTTTTCATCACCCCGATCACTTTTTTTCTTCTCATCATCTTTATTATCACGTCGTTCATCATTCAAATTTCTAGATTCTTCTTTAATGATATCATTAACATAAGCGTTATGCGCATTAAGCTGATCATCATTAATTTCAACATGAGATTCTTTTGGTGTACCACGACTGTTGACTTCCTCTAGAATTCTTCTAGCAATACGATTAAGAAATTCCTCTTTCTCTTCTTCTGGTAATAAATCGATATATTTTTCATTACTTTCATCATCGTCTGCATTAATATATTTAAATACGAAAATTATAAGAAATACTTTGAACATTTTAAATGAAAATACTATAGTAAGTCATTTTTCGTAACTTATTTCAGCGAATGCATAAAAAATTTCATGATTTAACCTTAATTCGTAATCAGTCGTAAACATTTGATTGGTTTTGAAAATAACGAAATAATTACTCAGATAAGAATATATCGCTTTTCTGTTTCCTAAAAGGTAAAGTTAATTGCGGAGCTCAGATTTAATAAAGATGTTGCTTGGATTGGAAATAAATGGTTTTATAATTTCTTTTCAATTTTATTTATAATCAAATTAGTCTTTTATCATCTTTTTATAGTTTTCTTTGGGAACAAAATAAAACGATATTATTATATGATTGTATATTAATTATTTATGACTATTTACAACGGACAGCGAAAGAAATTCACTCATCAATATATATCAGACATCTGATCTAAACTTTAAAGAACCTCTCCACATTTTTCTCCCCGTTCTCTTGATACTTCTCTCTGAACCGAGTCTATCATTCCCTGATTCAGCTGGCATTTGATACTCAAATGTTTCTGAGTTCATTTCAGGTGGTTTAGCTTCATTTTCTTCATTTATAATGGCTTGTGGTTCCATAGGATTAGTTTTGAAAGTTTCTGGTGCGATTGGTTGATATGTAACTTCAACTTTCTCTTGTTCTTCTGGTAATTCAATAATCTTCTCTCCTTCAAATAATTCTTCCAGCTCCTTCATCTGTTCATCACCGTCTTTCATCAAGGCCTCCATTATTATATTCTGTTTCTTGCGTATCGTTTGTTTCTTGTTTTTCACGGCTACCATTTCGGTTTCTTTATTAGGAGCCTCCTTATTGATTTCTGGATCCACCATTTTACCTATTTCCATATTCAGGTCGTAAAAGTTGGGTGATTCGTCGCAGGGGATCGAATCTATTGGTCTTGTGCATACTAGTACTTCCTGTAACATAACATATTATATAATGGCTTTTTTTTTATATAGATGTTAATTAGAACGTGTAAGTTTAAGTTAAGTCAGTAGTGGTATGGCGGTTAAAAGGCCCGCATCTCATGCATGAGAGCACGGGTTCGATCCTGGCAAGTTCCGATGTGATTTTTCCGAGTCATATAAACTTTGTAAGAGTATTTAGACAAAACTGATTTATGCATTCCCAAAGAGGGTTAATATCAGGCAGGCGGCTGATCGTAAAAAACAATTAGCCAAAAATATTCACAACATGTAAGGCAGACCCTGGCTAAATCTGAGAAACTGCCAGGTAGAAGAAGAATTAGAATGGTTCGGACATACCTGGTTAAAAACAGTCTCAGCGGGACAGATGAAGCTGTATCTGTAAGTGGTGTTGCGACCTGAAGGACTTTGTGATGGTACACAAACATGGAATAATTGACATTCATTTTCGACATCTGCGTAGTAGCCGTAGGTTCGATTCTCACAGCTGAAAATGAAATAGTTTTAAGAAATATTTATTTGCAAACTAATAAATTATACTCTTCATTTTAATTTGCAAAATAATTTTATTATAGAATTTTTGTATTAAAGAGCTATAAGCAGATTTAAATTCAACGCAAATATATAGTAAAAATATTGTTAATTGACGAAATGATTTCATTTACTTCAATACATTATTATTGTAGCATGAATTAAATATCTTCCTTTTTGGATTCGTTTCAATATTCTTTAGGATTTTGGAAACACTTTCATATTTTTAATATACATCATATATGATACTGATAAAAACAAAATTAAAAAATATATATATCAAGATTTTCCAATATCAATAGTATCTCATTACTCCCTAATTGTAGCAAGGGCTTGAACGATTTTAATGAAACTTTTCCTATGGGACTATAAAAAAATAGACAAAAATTAAGATCACGAAATAAAGTACTCACCTAAACGTGTCTGTTATATTTTCCCTTATAGACGTAGCGTTTGCGATCAAATTAAGAGATTCAGCTGCTGACTGGTTCATCATGTCCTGGTAGATGAAAAATATGTTATATATGTATATTATGTATATATTGATAATATAGAAGAAAAATAAGTGATGAAACCCCAAAATATATCTAAATTTTGTGGACCAAGTAAACGATTTTCCATAAATGCTACATATAAATTAATAGTAGGTATACAGATATAAAATATAACTTGAATATAATTGAAAATTATTTTTGAATATATCTCCAAAATAATATGAGGATTCATTTAAATGAAACTAATATTATTCTGATATACTAAGCGATATAGTTTTGTGAAAAATCCGCGTGGTATATCCGAAAAATATTAGTTACATTTAAATGAATAAAACTCGTGAAAGTCTTAGAAATATAAGGTTTATTAATAAAAATTACATAAAAATCATTATACCCTCAACATCTTCAGTACGCTACCACTCTGTACTTCCATTTCGATTTCACCACCGAAGGCGTATATTAGAAAATATGCAAAAAATATACTTCTTAGAATCACTGTAGCCATTTTGAAGTTAAAACTTTTATACACAAAATGTATTAAATACAACTGAACCTTCTTAACGTGGACTAAAATGGGGAATGCGAAAATTTTCATTCCATTTCTGTCTTTTATAAACGCTCGGAGTTATTTATTCTTGGAATTCGAAATGAAGGATTTGGCAGCGTTCGCAGAGAAATGTTTTGTTAATTTTTATTGTTATATTATTTTATTTGAATTGTTGTATCAATATATGATTTAATAATTAATATTTATGATTTCAGATATATGTATATATAAATTACATTACACTGAAATATTTCAATCACAGTCGTTCTTAAAATCAAATGATTTTTCAGTCACTACAACTTTTTTAATTATTACAATGAAATTAACTACTCATTAATATTATAATTAATCAAAACTATTTATTATTATAAATAGTTTTGAATAGTTATTATTGAATTTAAATTAATTATTTCATATTACGATATGTATTTTACAAAATATTGTAAATTTTCACTTACAATTAGATATATGAGATTTAATACTTTTATGTATTTGCATATTAATAAGTTTACATATAGGGAAAAATATATCAATCAAATAAGAGATTTTTTTGCCATCATATATGTATATATACCCTACTATTTTGTCGACGTAAAATTATTTTGCTATCGGTATTTCATTTGGCTGTCCCGAGAAAGATGTGATTTGAAACTATAATGTGCAAAAATTAAGCAACCTTGACTTTACTATTATCTACAGATGCCATTGCTGTCTGAATCATCCGAAATTTAAATAATTGCCAGTTATAGGTACATCGAAATCAATTATTTTAGACTAGCACTTGGTATGCGTGGACTTGCGAGGGAAAATGTCATTTTGTGACATACCCTAATAAAAAGAGTTTTTTTTTTGGTAGTTTTTGATGATAATAGATATTTAATGTGGATTATTTGGTAGTTTTTCATGATAGTAGACATTTAACGTGGAGTTTTTGGTAGTTTTTTTGATAATATACATTTAACGTGGAGTTTTTGAGCTAGTACATTTCATTTCTTATCAATCCACGTATCATACATTAAAACAATTCTGTCTGGTTCTAACTGTTTATGAGATAAAGATTCACATTTGGACAGTTTATTTTGATATTAGGGTTCAGTTTAAAATGTTTTTTGGTAGCATATGTATATAAGATTGAATATTGAGTCACAAAAAAAGAATCAAATATAATAAAAAAGTTCATGCGTCCAAGAACTGAAACGCTAATGAAAGATTATTTGCATGATCGATTTAAAATTTACATTATATATAATACACATTAAATTACTTTAATCTTCGATTTATCCAAACTTATAGATTTTACTTCAAATAAAGAAAAAAGATTATTTCAATCACAGTCTTAAAAATATATAAGTTCTATACATTTTGTTACTATATGAAAAAACTGATAAATTAAATAAATTTATACTTAGATCATATAAGTTATAGCTCAGTCCATTCTACATCAAAATTTATCACATTTAGCAATTATATCCACATTTTAAAACACTTTACCAATATTAACTAGAGGCAATTACTTTAGTAACTTTACATGCATATTTGAACATTTTACTTATTATTTAAGCAGAAAACAACTAAATCAATGAATTAATTCGATCTAAGATGTTCGCGAGTTTTATTCATTTAAATGAAACTATTATTCAAATGAAACTAACATATCATCTTTGTGATCACAGTTGCTGAAAAGTAGCCAAAACGTTTAAAGTATGTAGTTTTTTACAAAAAATAAAGTCGTGTAGTATATGTTAAAAATATTAGTTTCATTTAAAAGTTAAATGAAGCTACGTCATACTCAAAAACATTTATATTACAGTAATCCGTACAGACAGATATTTCGATCGATACTTCTAACGTGTTTGTACGTGACGTGAAAAAAGATGAACAGATGGAAGACGAAACCGTTGACCCAGTGTTGTATACTATCATTATGTATTGGAAAATAACTTATATTTATAAATATTACAAGAAGAATATATATACATATATATATATATACTTGAAGACCCGGCGAACAAAGCATCGCCCTATAATCAAGAAATATAAATTAAAAATGAATTAAAAAAACATTGCCCAGCGGACGAAAATGTGAATCTAAACCATTCCCAGATCCCCTTGAACACACACAAAAAATTTCATCAAAATCGGTCCAGTCGTTTGAGAGAAGTTCAGTGACATACACACTCACAGAAGAATTTTATATATATATATATATATATATATATATATATATATATATATATGAGTGTGTGTTATATCAATTTGCTAAAGTAATGACATTTTCAACAAGTTAGAATATTTATTTATTTATTTATTTATTAGATCTACCAACGTTTGTACACATCATTACATACTTAAAATACACAAAACAAATAACTTACAACTAGGTGTGACAAACAATTATAGGTAGATACATCATGCAAACCCAGCGCGAGCCGCAGTATAAACAAAACAAATAAATTTTAATAAAAATATAAAAAAGAAATAAAATACTAAAAGGTAAACTTATAAAATAAAATAAAAAATTAAATATTGAATGGAAAATTAAACTAAAAACTAAAAACTAAAAGTGATTCACAGGACGGGACAAATACAATTTAAGGTGAAAGGGGGAGTGTGTATAACAGGGACCGAATTCTTTTAGCTGAATCGTCATGGATGTCAAACGCGTCGCTGTAATCATTGACCAGCTTGCTAAGTCTGGAAACTGGGGAGTTTGATCCGAACACAGTTTTCCGAGGTGGTGGATATAGGGGAGTTATTTTGTAGCGAGGAGGCCTTAGTGGTACACGTATATTAAATTTATTTAATAATTGAGGGCAATCGATCTCGTTAGTAAATAATTTGGAAGCAAAAAACAGATCTAAGCGCTTTCTACGTTCATCTAACGAGATCATTCCGAAGTGCTTCAGTTGTTCACGATAAGACTGCATTTTCCTTTTTGACAGCGAGTTAGCAAACAAAAGGTAGTTTAAAAACCTTTTTTGCACACGTTCAATCTGTAGAGAATGAGTCGCATAGTGAGGCCTCCAGACCACCGAACAATACTCCAAGATACTGCGCACAAGAGAATTATACAAAAGTATCCGAACCCTATTACAACGCAACCCCGCCGCATTCCTCAGCAAAAACCCCAACATTTTTGAAGCCCGATTTACAATTTGTTCAGTATGTGGTACGAATGTCAATTTTTTGTCGAATAGCACACCCAAGTCACGGATCTGCTCAAGTTCCGCGATGCTGTTGTGGGCAATATGGTATTGGAATGTGACAAAGTTTCTCCTACGGCCGAACTGTACGAAAAAACACTTTTTAGTGTTAAGCTCCATTTCATTGCGCAAACACCAATTGACCAACTCGTCGAGGTCTTTCTGTAGCAACACGGAATCCCGCTCCGAATGTATGACTTTAGCTATTTTTAGATCATCAGCATACATATAAGTTTGAGAAAATCTAATGACAGAGGGTATATCATTAACAAATATGGTGAACAAGATTGGTCCCAGATGAGAGCCCTGAGGTACACCGGAAGTTATTTTCCGCGAGCTAGAGTGAAAACCATTAATCACCACGGAAAATGTACGATTTTCCAAATAAGACCTTATCCATTTCAGTAAATTCCCAAAAATTCCATAAGCAGAGATTTTACTTATCAATATATCATGGGGTAAACAGTCAAAAGCTTTACTGAAATCGGTATATACAACGTCTACCTGATTATGAGAATCCAAAGCCTCTGTTAAGTTTTCTGTGAGATCAACTAAATTAGTACAAACCGAACGAGATTGGACAAAGCCATGTTGATGAGTGCATAAACTTTGTTTAAAGTGACTTTGTATAAAAGGGCATACAAGCGACTCCAATACCTTAGCTAGTGTTGACAAAATAGAAATGGGCCGATAGTTTGATACAGTATTTTGGTCATTAGCCTTGTGAACTGGGACCACTCTTGCTTTCTTCCATTCTGTGGGAAACTCTCCCGTTTGTAAGGACATATTAAATATTAGCAGTAAAGGCTCAACCAAGTATGTAGCACATCTCTTTAAGAAGATGGGTGGGATCCCGTCCGGGCCTGCACCCTTGCCCTCATCAAGACTTTTAAGCTTTCTCAGTAAAGCACCACTATTTATAAGAGGTATTGTTAAATTTTGACTGCTACCCACGATGTAATCAAAAGAATCCCTACGATCAAACTTTCGGAGACTACTGTTTTTATATGCAGATGCAAAGTGTGATGCAAACATTTCACAAATTTTCACACCGTCTGAGGTAACTACAAAGCCATCAGTTATACTCGTAGGATAGGAACTAGTACCACCGCGTTTAGCTTTAACATATGACCAGAAGTGTTTAGGGTTCTTCGAAATATTTTTTTCAGACTCACTAATGTATTTATTGTAAGATAAGACGGCCAAACGGGTGCAACGTGAATTTAGCAGCCTCAGCTCCAATTCATCCATTGGATTTTTATATTTTCGGAAACGACGCCTAAGATTATATTTTTCTTTTAAACATCTTTTTAAGTTACGATCAAACCAAGCCGGGTATTGTGATTTTTTAACTTTATGTTTAGGAACAAATTTCTCAATTATGGTACCGATAGTATTATAAAATTTTACGAGTATATTATTTACATCATTGCTATTCCCAAATATTTCTGCCCAGTTACATTTTCCAAGCTCTATACCAATATTCATGAAATCGGCCTTGTAGAAGTTAAATTTAAATGTTTGATGGTTAAATGGGAGTCTGGGCTGCTCGGCAAATGAGAATTCCACGTCTAAAGCAGGGTGTAGCTGGTCAATGATACAGAACGCAGAAGGACTTGGACGAACCATACAATTAGGTAAATTAGACAATACGAGGTCAAGAATTCTGTCCGATTTATTAACTACTTTGTTATGTTGTTTAAGGTCATATACATTGAGTAAATCAATCAGAGGTTGACACAAAACTGGTACTCT